CACAGAGTGAACACAGAGTGAACACAGAGTGAAAACAGAGAGAGCACATAGAGAGCACAGAGTGAACACAGAGAGAGCACAGAGTGAACACAGAGAGAGCACAGAGTGAACACAGAGAGAGCACAGAGAGAGTACAGAGTGAGCACAGAGTGAGCAGAGTGAGCACAGAGTGAACACAGAGAGCACAGAGTGAACACAGAGAGAGCACAGAGAGAGCACAGAGAGAGCACAGAGTGAGCAGAGTGAGCACAGAGTGAGCACAGAGTGAGCACAGTGAGCAGAGTGAGCACAGAGTGAGCACAGAGAGAACACAGAGAGAACACAGAGAGAACACAGAGAGAGCACAGAGTGAGCAGAGTGAGCACAGAGTGAACACAGAGAGCACAGAGTGAACACAGAGAGAGCACAGAGAGAGCACAGAGAGAGCACAGAGAGAGCACAGAGTGAGCACAGAGTGAGCACAGAGTGAACACAGAGTGAGCACAGAGAGAGCACAGAGAGAGCACAGAGTGAGCACAGAGTGAGCACAGAGTGAGCACAGTGAGCAGAGTGAGCACAGAGTGAGCACAGAGTGAGCACAGAGAGAACACAGAGAGAACACAGAGAGAACACAGAGTGAGCACAGAGAGAGCACAGAGTGAGCAGAGTGAGCACAGAGTGAGCACAGAGTGAGCACAGTGAGCAGAGTGAGCACAGAGTGAGCACAGAGTGAGCACAGAGAGAACACAGAGTGAACACAGAGTGAACACAGAGAGAACACAGAGTGAACACAGAGTGAACACAGAGTGAGCACAGAGAGAGCACAGTGAGCAGAGTGAGCACAGAGTGAGCACAGAGAGAACACAGAGAGAACACAGAGTGAGCAGGGTGAGCACAGAGAGAGCACAGAGAGAGCACAGAGAGAGCACAGTGAGCAGAGTGAGCAGAGTGAGCACAGAGAGAACACAGAGAGAACACAGAGAGAACACAGAGTGAGCAGGGTGAGCACAGAGAGAACACAGAGTGAACACAGAGAGAGCACAGAGTGAACACAGAGAGAGCACAGA